GTCTCTGAACCTCTAGTCTAAAACAGATTTTCAAAGAATTTAAAAATTGTTTAATTTTCCTTAAATTTCACTATTTGCAAGTCAAAATACTCTACTGACACAATCACAATGTTCTCTTTTTGAATGGCACATAGGCTAAACTGCAGAAAACCAAATCTAACCATCTTCTTGAAGAACAAAAACAGTATTTTCACACTTAATATCTCAAATAAAAACTCCTTTAGCTAGACTAACTTGTTCTAAAAGCTATGCACCGTATATTAAGGTTAATAAACAGATTCAAGTATAATGGTTGGGGTGAAAACTTATGTTCACCAGGAGGAACCCATTATGGAAACCTGCAAAAATTTAAAACTTGATGAATCTTGCCTATGTATGCTATTGTGCACGACGATTTTAAAAAGGAGAAAATATAGTGAATTAATGTTATTGATATTAAAAAAGAAAACATGATGGGATCAGCAAATGGCATAATGGTTACATCACTGGACTCCCACATGGTTGACCATGGTTCAAGTCCCAGACCCAGTGGCTTAAAACTCATGCCCAGTGCATGTGCGTGCTTGCCCAAAATCCCAAGAGGAGAATGAAGGAGAAGAGACTGCAGCATAGCCAACACCCTGGGGGGTGACTTCTTGCTTTCTATCTCTCTCTCTTTCCAGCAAGTAGTGCACACGCCCTATAGCAAAAACCTCTCTAAAAGGAAAAAGAAAACACGACAATTTTCACATCCCACTCCAACAAACCTATTCACAATTTAGAGGATCCAAAGTTTCTTTAACATATCAACTCTATCTTGACACAGGTACAGTTTACCAGGGAATTCATGTCAAAGATTTAATAGTTGGAGGTCAAAATATTACATGGAGGGGTCTGCAAAAAAAATTATATGGGAACTGTGTTGAGATAATAATGAAAAAGGATAGAAAGTTTATACCTAGATAATACAAACAACATAAAATCAGTAAGGGTAAATGATGAATGGGTTCATTATTCCCAATTGTAAAATTTCAGTAAAAATAAGAATACAGGGACCAGCAAATGACATAATGGTTAAATCGCTGAACTCCCATATAGTCAACTGCTGCTCAAGCCCTGGACCAGGCAACTTAAATCTCATGCAGGGTGCATGTGTGTGTACTTCCCTCCCCCAAGATCCTGAAAAGAGAATGGAGGAGGAGGGATCATAGCATGGACACCACCCCAGGGAGTCATTTTTCACATTCTGTCTCTCTGACAAGTACATTCGCCCTGTCTCAAAAATCTCAAAATAAGTACATTGATTAATTAATTAATTAATAAGAACACCAGGCCAGCAGGTGATGTCACGGTTAAGGCATTAAATTCCCACATGTCTGACTAAGGTTCAAGTTCTAGACTTGGCAGCTTGCTTTCTTACTTTATCTTTCTCTCTCTTTCTCTGGTGGGTGCACATGCCCTGTAGCAAATTTAAAAATAATAATAATGATAAATAATTACTTTAAAAGTAAATAACAAAGATAACAATGTAACACTGAAAATACTTCACCTTATGAAGACCAGCTTTGAGACAGGGAATGTGATGTGATTTCTGTTAAAATCCTAAACTATTAGTAATTATACAGTATAAGTTCCAGAAACACTAAAATTACTCACTCAGAGGCAATTGCTTGTAGCCTAAATTTTAGAATTTTTTTCCCTAGTAGCCTTCTACCAAATATATGAACGAAAACCAAATATAAAAATTTCTGTTCTGGGGACTGGTAGGTGGTGTGGTGGTTAAGGGTGCTGGACTCCCACATAGCTGACCATGGTTAAGTCGTGGACCTGGCTGCTTGCTTTCTCTCTCTCTCGTGTCTCTCTTGCTCTGTCCCTTTCTGGTCAAATTAAAATAAATGAAGTTAAATAAAATGAATCTTTTTTGCTTTTTCTTTTTTTTTTTTTTGAGAGGTTTTGCTATAGGGCACGTGCACTCACCAGAAAGATAGAGAGTGACAGAGAGACAGCGAGAAATAACCCTCCAGGAGAGACGGCCACGCCGCAATCCCTTCTCCATTCTCCTCTCGGGATCTTGGGCATGCACGCACATGCACCCGGCATGAGTTCAAGCCACCGGGTCCAGGACTCGAACCGTGGTCGACTACATGGGAGTCCAGCGACATAGCCATTACACTAACAGCTGGTCCCAATAAAATGATTCTTTAAAAAAAAAAAAAATTCTGTTCTGTGGCTGGCTCTATGGCCTGGTGGTTAAGGTAACTACATCCCACATTACCAACTCTGTGATATGCATCCTGGACCCAGTGGCCTGAGAAACACACTGGGTGCATGTGTGTGCATGCCCAAAGTCCCAAAGTGAAGAGAGATGGAGAAGGGATTGTGCCATGACCATTAACTCATGGGGAAGTGGCTTCTCTCTCTCTGTCACACTCTCTCTCTGGTAAGCACACATGCCCTTTGGCAAAACATATTTTTAAATTCTGTTCTGCATGGATATGCAGTTTTTCACCTTTGCAAAAACCACTACATCACAGAAGGTATTGTGAGGTTTAGGTGAAATGGGGAAAAACTGTCAAAAACAACTTTTTGCATGTTATCAAGGGAAAAAAATCTGTATTTTACTCAGATCTTCCTTATTTTATCAATAAATGGCTGTTTTAAAAAATAACTTTATTTTCATTTCATTTATTATTATTATCATTATTTTACTATGGGGTACATGTAGCCACCAGAGAGAAAGACACACACACAGAGAGGGAGAGAGGCTTCTCTCTCTCTGTCACACTCTCTCTCTGGTAAGCACACATGCCCTTTGGCAAAACATATTTTTAAATTCTGTTCTGCATGGATATGCAGTTTTTCACCTTTGCAAAAACCACTACATCACAGAAGGTATTGTGAGGTTTAGGTGAAATGGGGAAAAACTGTCAAAAACAACTTTTTGCATGTTATCAAGGGAAAAAAATCTGTATTTTACTCAGATCTTCCTTATTTTATCAATAAATGGCTGTTTTAAAAAATAACTTTATTTTCATTTCATTTATTATTATTATCATTATTTTACTATGGGGTACATGTAGCCACCAGAGAGAAAGACACACACACAGAGAGGGAGAGAGCAAGTTACTAGGTCCAGGACTTGAACCATGCATGGTCTGCCATGTGGAAGTCCAGCGTCTTAACAACCATGTCTCAAAATGGTTTTTTTATGCTTAATCAAAGGACTTAATAACAGTCCACAATATAAAAGACACGAGGATGATGTTGAATGTAATGTAACAATAGTATGGTCACCTAAGATGTATTATGCTTATTATTAATTGTGAAAATTATAAGGAAGCTATTTGGGTTAAAATGGAAATACTGGCCTTAAAAATTGTAAGAATGTCAAGGAAAATGTGAAAACTGCTACATTCATTTTCAGATCTAGCAAACATCGGGATTTAATTTTATCTATGGTATCTACTACTTTAGGATAGAAGATTTTTCTATACATGTCTTTGTATAACAATAGCCCTTACCAGATGTAGCCTTAAACTTTATAGAAAACCTTAATAATGAAAACTAGGGACCAGCAGTTAGCGTAATGGTTATGTCGCTGGACTCCCATGTAGTCGACTGCAGTTCGCGTCCCAGACTCGGTGGCTTAAAACTCACGCTGGGCGCGTGTGCATGTGTGCCCAAGATCCTGAGAGGAGAACAGAGGAGAAGAGACTATGGTGTGGCCATCCCCCCTGGGGGGTGATTTCTCGCTTTCTGTCTCTCTCTGTCTGTCTGGCGAGTGCACGCGCCCTATGGCAAAAACCTCTCAAAAAAAAAAAAAAAGAAAGAAAACTAGTTATTATTATAACTGAGCACCTACCCAGAAAATAGCATACAATTGAAAGTGTTAATAACGGTCAATAACACTATGAAAAAAACTGCTATGTTCATGATTTAATGAGCATTACATTAGCCTAAACACACAGAGTGTAAAAAAAATCACACGTCAAGAGACAATTAATAAACCTTTCACACTAATATTGATCTCTTGAATCTAATAGTACAAAAACCTTAAGGAGCCAGCTGGTAATGTAGTGGTTAAGGTGGCTGGATGCCACATGGCTGCCCATTTCAAGTCTCAGACCAGGTAGCTTGAAAAGCACACCAGGAGCATAAGCATACATATGCAAAATCCTAAGAAGAGGGAGGAGAAAGGATTCTGTGGCATAAACATCTCTCCTGAGGGTGTTTTCTCTGTTTCTCTCCAGGAAGCACATGTGTACCTTAGCAAAACTGAAACAAAACTTTATGTATTTGCAGGACCCTGTGCGCACACACACACACACACGTGTATACACACACACACACACACATACACATGTCCAACTACTTATATAGTCCTCAAAGGCTCATATTACAGGAGAATTTACTTCTGTTAAGGCATGAGCTTAAGTCTCCAATCACCCAATACAAAAAGGTACAGAGAAATACCCACTTATCTAATGCCCCCCCTTCGAGTTAAAATACAGCCCAAATACAGCC